GATGATGTTTAAGGAATTGTATTTCTTTATAGCGATAATATTGTTGAGGATATTTTTGAGAAGGATTTTCTAGGACTCCTTGGATTGTGTTAACTTTTTTAAAAAGAATGTGTTTAGAAGCAGCTTTAATTAAAGCTTTGTGAATTTTGTTCTATATGTTATTAAGGTGGTTTTGATTAGAGATTGAAGGGATTTTGGAATCTATTTGTTAAAGACTTTGTGTAGTTTGATTGGCATAGTTTCCTTAGAGCAGTTTTTTCAAAGAAAGATTTTCTGTTTGTGTTGTTTGTGTGGTTTTGGCTTGTTGTTAATAATTGCAATTTCTAAGGTGATAATACTATGATCAGATTCAAGTGTAAAGTTTGTGAGTATATCTGTATAGTCTATATAGGTAAGAGATAAATTAGTCCAGATTTGGTCAATTCTACTTTGAGTAGTAGAGCGTTGAAAGGTATAATTAGAGGTATTAGGAAAAAAAATCGGTAGATGTCTTTAAATTGGAAGCTAAAAAGATATTTAATGAGTTGATGCTCAGGTATTGAGGATTTTTTTGAAGGAGAGCGGTCTAGTCGAGGGTTAGGAACTCCATTAAAGTCACCTAAGATAATAATTTTGTAAAAAGAATTTTGTAAAAGTAGGATGATTTGTTCAAAAATTTCTTTTCGTAATTGTTTCTTTTCTTGTGTAGAAATATAAATTTGAAGAATTCTAATAGGTGTATTTTTAAAATGTAAATCAAGACCTATAATATGACCATTATAGTTATGAGAGCGTGCAATGTATTTTAAGATTTTTTTATAAATAAAAATTCCAACTCCAGCTTGGTGAGGGTTGGTGTAAGAGCTTCAGAAACTAGAATATTTATTAGTAAGTGAATTGGTATATTTTGTTTCTTGTTTTGAGAGATGGGTTTCAGAGAGTCCAAATATATCAAATGTTTCATTATTAAGTATTTCAAGTAAAGATAGTTTTTTGTTGGCTTGTGATAAACCATTAATATTTAGTAAGCTAATTTTGATAGGGATTGAAGTATTTTCAATTGTTGAATTAGTTGGAGAGTTGAAGAAAGGATTGTTAGTTTGGTTTTGTATAGTATAAAGAGCATTAGAGCAAGAGGAAGAAGTAAGAAAAGAGCTTGATGCTAATAGAGGATAGGAAGATGTAAAAATAGGTGTGTTGGATTGTGATTTAAGAGGAATATCATGTGAATCATTAGTGGATAGAATATAGTGATTTGATGTATTTGTTTTTATTATCTACCTTTTTTTCGTTCCCTACTATTCCCCTTTTTTTTTTCTTTTTTCCTTCTCTACGAGAAAGTGTCATCAGTTTGGCAGCATTCTATTGTAGCGCAGGAATCTTGACAGGGCAAGCAACAGCCAGCCGGTGAATCTGGGGGAAATAAGTCCGGAGTGAGTTCCAGATTTCTGGAGGAGGCCAAGTGTTGCTAGGCAGGTCGCATCTAGGCAAGACACAGTGGTTTAATGGTTCGCTCTGACCACAAGTGGATGTTTTGGCATCTGCAAGGTATGCCGGGTGTGAGTTTACTCTTTGGTTAGAACACTTATAGATTGTGATTTCTTTGTATGCCGATGTAAGAATGATAGTCTGTTCCCATAATAAAGTAAACAGGATTGCCGAAGGAAAAAAAAAAAAAATAAATGTAATTTTATTTTGGTAAAATTTATAGCGATAATCATATTAATATGAGTCCGATTTACAATATCAATTACATTACATAATAAATTACCAGTTTACAGTATCCCAGCGTTCAAAATCCGAAAGCAATTATTGATACTATTGCTATCGGGATTTTATTTTCTGGATTTTGGGCATCGGGATTTTAAGTACCGAGATTCTGAAGTAAGACCACATTACCATTAGAAAATTTAAACTTTTTAGTTTCAGTTAACAAAGATTACCGGTATATATATATATTTTTTAAAACGATATTTAGATAATGAGTTTTTCTTATTAAAAACGATAAATAAATTTTTTTTTAAAAAAATCTCTATTCGCGCAATAGATGTTTAAAATATATTATTATGTATCAGCGTTTCTTAAGTTTTTTTTAAAAATCTTATAGCGTAAAATTGAAGTTAGTTATTTAAGATCGCACTTAATTCTAGTATTCAATTTTTAGAAAAAATTCTCAAAAAGTTTCTTGTACGTACGGATTTTTGTAGTAGGTTAGTGATGTCCAAAAAATTTTACTATTTCGTGTAATCCGTGCTTCCGGAATTAGATCCGACAATTCAGATTCGGACCTCGGATCTGACCTGCGAAGCACTAATACTGTACAAGCTTAATACCGATACGTACAAGCTAACTAATATTATCTGTTGTAGCAAAATTACGATCTGAGCAACTTCACTTAGTACATCGGTTAGCGGTTTATTAATAAAATTCGCAAAATTTGGTGATTTTCGGGCATAATTAATTAAATCCGGAAGCTCGGGTTACACGAAATGGTAAAATTTTTAATTTTGTACAGTATTTAGGTAATTTTTTTTTTGTATCAACCAATAGTATTGTTACCAGTAATATCCAATAAAATTAGTTATTGATAAACAAGGTTACAATTCGAATTAACGTTAATAGGCCGATTATACGTAAAAGTCAGCAGATATAACTATATATATTAAGCCAGTGATTTTTAAAACTTCATCTTTCTTTAGTTCTCTCAGACTGTTCCTAATGTCTGATTACGGCGAATCTTCGTCTTTCCAACCTCAGGGAGGTTACGTCTACCCTGATCAACAACAACAACAACAACAATCACAACCACAGCAACCATTTGCTTATCAATATTATCAATTTAATAACGTTCCAAATCAGTATAGTGGTCAAAATCAATATGGCAACACTTCACAACCTGTCGAAAATACAACAGAAAAACTCGAAGAAAAAGCCAGAAAATGGCAACAAATGCAATCGAAACGATATGGTGAAAAAAGAAAGTTTGGATTCATTGAACACGAAAAAGTTGATATGCCACCAGAACATATTAGAAAGATTATCAAAGATCACGGTGATATGTCCAGTAAAAAATATCGCCATGATAAAAGAATTTATCTTGGCGCTTTGAAATATGTCCCTCACGCTGTATTAAAACTATTGGAAAATATGCCAATGCCTTGGGAACAGGTATTAATTATTTTCTTTCTTGAAACTTTATCTTACTAAAATTAATCCCTATTATTAATCGTTATCTTTTCTATTTAGGTTCGTGAAGTACCTGTTTTATATCATATTACTGGTGCAATCACATTCGTAAATGAGATTCCATGGGTTATTGAGCCTGTATACATAGCTCAATGGGGTACTATGTGGATCATGATGCGTCGAGAAAAGCGTGATAGACGACATTTCAAGCGTATGCGCTTTCCACCATTTGATGATGAAGAACCGCCACTGGATTATGGTGATAATATCTTAGATGTCGAACCATTAGAGGCAATTCAAATGGAATTAGAAGAAGATGAAGATGCTGCTGTCTTTGAATGGTTTTATGATCACAAACCATTAGTGGACACAAAATTTGTGAATGGCTCAACATACAGACGGTGGAAGTTGAATTTACCAATAATGTCAACTTTATACCGTTTGGCACATCAACTACTATCTGACCTCACAGATTCGAACTATTTTTATCTATTCGATCTAAAGTCATTTTTTACCGCAAAAGCTCTAAATATGGCAATTCCTGGAGGGAGCAAGTTCGAACCGCTTTATAGAGGTATGTCATCTTAAATTAATTCATTAATTATTATTATTATTTTTCGCATCAGGTTTAAATTAGAAATATTATAGAAATATTAAATTTTAAATTATAATTTGGTTATCCATTAGATATGGACACGGCGGACGATGATTGGAACGAATTTAATGACATAAATAAAATTATAATACGACAACCTATTCGTACTGAATACAAAATTGCATTTCCTTTTCTGTACAATTCTCTCCCACGATCCGTTCATGTGTCATGGTATCATGAACCATCAGTAGTTTATATCCGTTCAGAGGATCCGGACTTACCAGCGTTTTATTTTGACCCTATTATTAATCCTATTTCGTCACGTAATCTTACACCACAAAACTTGGTAATATCTCATGAAGATGAAATTTTCGGCGATAAAGAAGAAGATGAGGAATTTGTACTTCCAGAGAAAATATCTCCATTTTTGGAGAGCACACCACTTTATACGGATACTACTGCTGACGGGATCGCTTTATGGTGGGCTCCGCATCCATTTAATAAACGTAGTGGACGAATGCGGAGAGCAGAAGATATACCCTTGGTGAAGAATTGGTATCTTGAACATTGCCCGCCAGGACAACCTGTTAAAGTTCGAGTATCATATCAAAAGCTTATAAAATGTTATGTGCTAAATGCACTAAAACATAGACCACCAAAAGCTTTAAATAAGAAATATTTGTTCCGTCAGTTGAAATCCACAAAATTCTTCCAAACAACTGAACTAGACTGGGTTGAAGCCGGATTACAAGTCTGTCGTCAAGGCTACAACATGCTTAATCTTTTGATTCATCGAAAAAATCTCAATTACTTACATCTTGACTACAATTTCAAGTTAGTATTATTTTTAATGGTTTTATTTATTTTTGTTTATTTATTTTACTCATAATTCTAATACAAAAAATGTATTTTAGCTTGAAGCCTGTAAAAACTCTTACTACGAAAGAACGTAAAAAGTCTCGATTCGGAAATGCATTCCATTTATGTATGTTGAATTTTTTTATTAATCGGTCTAATAATTGATTTCATATAATTTTAAATATAATTTTAACATGTGTTTAAATTAAAACTTTCTCAGGCCGTGAAATTTTGCGTTTAACAAAGTTGGTTGTCGATTCGCATGTACAATATCGTTTAGGCAATGTTGATGCATTCCAGCTAGGTATGTCAAAAACTTCTATGATATAATCTCTTTGAATTAAATACATTGATATTAACTTTGGTCGAATGTTACACAGCCGACGGTCTTCAATACATTTTCTCGCATGTTGGTCAATTAACGGGAATGTATAGATATAAATATCGTCTAATGAGACAGATTCGAATGTGCTTTGGTGCTACGCAAAAAATCATGTTATCAGATGGTAGTTTTAAACAAGCCAAGAACATTGTCGTCGGAGACAAGATAATTGGCGATGATGGGGAATCACGAAAAGTTATTTCACTTACTTCTGGTCGCAGCATGATGTACCGAGTTACCTGCGATTATGGAAATTCATCTGATAACTTATGGGAAGAGGATGGGTTTGTTTGCAATGATGCTCACCTTCTCGTAGTTAAGTCTCGATATTATCCGCGTACCGAACTGAAATCGACACAACAAACGTTTTATGTTCACTATATGGAATTCGATGTTTTTGACGAAGAACTTGGATTTAACATTCCGAAATTAAAAGTTGCTAACTTTTCATGGAACAAAAACGTATATAGATCTTGTGCTATTGCAAAAGCTGCGGCGAGTGCATTTTACAGTGAGCTGTTGAATAAAGGATGTAAGGGACGGATTTGTCTCCATCCTGCTGCTAAACGCTGGGTTATTAGACTCACTTACAGACCATCCAAAGTCAAGGAAATGGATATCAGCTCATTGAGTTTTTATTGGAAGACACATCCGAATAGAGAGAGAATAGTTACGCAACAGGAAGCTGAAAAACAAGCTTTAATGTTTGCTGCAGAACAATTAAAAAACAATAACAATTATATTTGGGAAATTTCTGTTATAGACTTTCTTCGGTTTAAGGAAAAGTATCCTGATACTGCGCAATATTTTGGAATGTACAGGTGTTATGTGCCCAGGTTCCCAGATCCAAGTGCTCTTGATATAAACCTTCTAATTCGAGAAGCTTACGAGGAAGTTGGTGTTAATGATAACTACATAACAGAAAATGAATTTGGTTGGTTATTGTCCCTATGGCTTGGTGATGGTTTGGAAGATTATCCAGCGTTTTATTGTGATGTGAAAAAATATCCTACCATAGTAACCAAATTAAAAACTATTGCTGAAAAATTAAGATTACAACTTGTGATAACACGTGATAGTAACCAAGTGGGAGAATATTGGAATATATTGCTTTCCGCAACACCTAAAGGTACTTTTAGTTCAACACAGAGTTGTGATGAATTTGGAAGTGTCATTGTAGACAAGGACGTGTGGACATTTGAGTCTAACAAAAATGATAGAAACATTATGAGTATTCTTCTAAAACGGTTGGACTTATTTCAAAATAAGAAATTGTTTGATGAAGTATTAGTTGGAAAATTAACGAATCAGTCCCAAGAGTTTCGTCTAAATCTCTTGGCTGGATTTATCGATTCTGATGGATATATGGCTTGTAATAGGCGAAATTGCTACTACGTGTTTGTACAACAAGTAAATACCCATGCGCATATTGCCAAATTTTGCCGTCATGTTGCACGTTCACTAGGAATGAGTGCTACTGGATATTCTTATTACAACGAGCAATTATTCAGCAACGGTGCAGCCACAAATTTTGTTCGAATTAATATTAGTGGGTCTAAGATATTGGAAATTCCAGTTACTGTCAGCTATAAATGTATTCCCGAAGGTTACTTATCAACGACATTTGATGATCCAAACGGTTTAATAAAATTTAAAATTGAAGCTCTTCATGAGGATGAATATTATGGCTTTGAAGTTACTGGAAATAATGAGCGAATTTTGTTGGATGATTTTATGGTCTCTCATAATTGTAAAGATTTGAAGCACCTTATATACTATCGATTTAATACCGGTCCGGTTGGAAAAGGGCCTGGTTGTGGATTTTGGGCACCAGGATGGCGAGTTTGGTTATTCTTCATGAGAGGCATAGTCCCTCTTTTAGAACGTTGGCTTGGGAATTTATTGGCTCGTCACTTTGAAGGTCGTCATTCTAAGGGAATTGCAAAGACCGTAACTAAGCAGCGTGTAGAATCTCATTATGATCTTGAACTTCGTGCTGCAGTCATGCATGATATTCTAGATATGATGCCTGAAGGTATCAAAGCAAATAAATCAAAGACTATATTGCAACATTTAAGTGAAGCTTGGAGATGTTGGAAAGCAAATGTCCCATGGCATATAATGGGAATGCCAAAACCTATTGAGAATATGATTTTAAGATATGTTAAAAGTAAAGCAGATTGGTGGACTAGTGTAGCACATTATAACCGTGAAAGAATTAGAAGGGGTGCAACAGTTGATAAAACGGTAAATTATATATTCATATCTGATTCATTTTTAAATTTTGTTTATTTAATTATTAACGCTGATTCCTGTTCTCTTTATTAGGTTTGTAAGAAAAATCTCGGTCGTTTGACGCGTTTGTGGTTAAAAGCTGAACAAGAGCGTCAACATAATTATCTTAAAGATGGTCCTTATATTACTGCAGAGGAAGCAGTAGCTATATATACGTCCACTGTCCATTGGTTGGAAAGTCGTAAATTTTCACCAATTCCATTCCCACCTCTTTCTTACAAGCATGATACAAAATTATTAATATTGGCTCTTGAAAGGTTGAAAGAAGCGTATAGTGTTAAAGGACGTCTTAATCAAAGTCAAAGAGAAGAATTAGGATTGATCGAACAAGCATACGATAATCCGCATGAAGCGCTTAGTCGTATTAAACGTTTATTGCTGACACAGAGAGCCTTTAAAGAAGTCGGAATTGAATTTATGGATCTTTATAGTCATTTGATTCCGGTATTTGATGTCGAACCACTCGAAAAAATCACCGACGCCTACCTTGACCAATATCTTTGGTATGAGGGTACAAAGAGGAATTTATTCCCAGCATGGGTCAAACCATCAGATACTGAGCCTCCACCATTGCTTGTTTACAAGTTTTGCCAAGGCATTAACAATTTGACAGATGTCTGGGAAACATCAGAAGGAGAGATTAATGTAATGTTGGAAACACAATTTAGTAAAGTTTACGAAAAGATTGATTTAACTCTATTGAATAGGCTTTTAAGATTAATCTTGGATCATAATCTTGCTGACTACATGACCGCAAAGAATAATGTGGTACTTAACTATAAAGATATGAATCACGTAAATGCATATGGTCTTATTCGTGGATTACAATTTGCTAGTTTTATATTCCAATATTATGGGCTTATTCTTGATTTGTTGGTTATTGGACTTCAAAGAGCTTCAGAAATTGCTGGTCCTCCTCAGATGCCAAATGATTTCTTACAGTTTCGAGATGTCGCTACAGAGACTCGACATCCTATTAGATTATATTGTCGATACATAGATAAAATTCATATTTTCTTCCGCTTTAATGCAGATGAGGCTAGAGATCTAATTCAACGTTATTTGACCGAACATCCAGATCCCAATTCAGAAAATATTGTTGGCTACAACAATAAGAAATGCTGGCCTCGAGATTGCCGCATGAGATTATTTAAAAGTGATGTTAACGCTGGAAGGGCTGTATTCTGGGATATAAAGAATAGGTTACCTCGTTCGCTTACTACAATAGAATGGGAAGATACTTTTTGCAGTGTTTATTCTAAAGACAATCCAAATGTTTTGTTCTCTATGTGCGGTTTCGAAGTTAGAATTCTTCCGAAGATCCGAAACCTTAACGAGGAATTCACGCTTAAAGATGGAGTTTGGAACCTAATCAATGAACAAACAAAAGAAAGAACGGCACAGGCCTTCCTTCGCGTTGATGAAGAATCAATGCAAAAATTCCATAATCGTGTTCGTCAAATATTAATGGCTAGTGGATCAACAACATTCAGTAAGATCTCAAACAAATGGAACACTTGTCTTATTGGACTGATGTCCTATTTTAGAGAAGCTGTCGTGCATACACGTGAATTATTGGACATAATCGTGAAAGCGGAAAATAAAATTCAAACAAGAATTAAGATTGGGCTTAACTCAAAAATGCCTTCTAGATTTCCACCAGTTGTATTTTATTGTCCAAAAGAATTGGGTGGACTTGGAATGTTATCTATGGGGCACGTTCTCATACCGCAAAGTGATCTTCGATGGAGTCAACAAACAGAGACTGGGATAACTCATTTCAGATCAGGAATGAGTCATGAGGAAGATCAGCTAATACCAAATCTTTTCAGATATCTTCAACCTTGGGAATCAGAATTTATTGACTCTCAACGTGTGTGGGCTGAATATGCACTTAAACGCCAAGAAGCTAATGCTCAGAATAGGAGGTTGACTCTTGAAGATCTTGAAGATTCTTGGGATCGTGGATTACCAAGAATAAATACTTTGTTTTCCAAAGACCGACATACCCTAGCTTATGACAAGGGATGGCGTGTTAGAACAGACTTCAAGCAATATCAAGTATTAAAGAATAATCCTTTCTGGTGGACACATTCTAGACATGATGGAAAATTGTGGTGTCTTAATAATTACCGATCAGATATGATTCAAGCTTTAGGAGGTGTAGAAGGAATCTTAGAACATACACTCTTTAAGGGAACATACTTTGTTACATGGGAAGGTCTGTTTTGGGAAAAAGCATCAGGTTTTGAAGAGAGTATGAGATATAAGAAATTGACAAATGCTCAGCGTTCTGGTCTAAACCAAATCCCTAATCGTCGATTTACATTATGGTGGTCACCGACAATTAATCGAGCAAACGTATACGTTGGTTTTCAAGTTCAACTTGATCTTACGGGTATCTTTATGCATGGAAAGATTCCAACCTTAAAGATTTCGTTGATTCAGATTTTCAGAGCCCATTTATGGCAAAAGGTGCACGAAAGTGTTATCATGGATTTATGTCAAGTATTTGATTCGGAACTTGAGAGCTTGCAAATTGAAACTGTGCAAAAAGAGTCTATTCATCCCAGAAAATCATACAAAATGAACTCATCATGTGCTGATATATTATTATTCGCTTCATATAAATGGAACATTTCTAAACCTTCACTATTGAACGATAACAAGGATGTTATGGATGGAACAACAACGTCAAGATGGTTTGTAGATTGTCAGCTAAGATGGGGAGATTTTGACTCTCATGATATTGAAAGGTACACAAGGGCAAAATTCCTAGACTATTCTACTGACAATATGAGCATATATCCATCACCGTTTGGTAAATATCTTTAAAATAATTCTCTTTTTGTTGTTTACAGATCGAATTATTAATATTCATTTTTATAATAGGTATTATGATTGGTATCGATTTGGCATATAATCTTCATAGTGCTTATGGCCATTGGATTCCAGGAATGAAACCATTAATTCAATCCGCGATGGCTAAAATCATGAAAGCCAATCCAGCATTATATGTTTTGAGAGAACGTATCAGAAAAGGTTTACAATTATACAGTTCAGAACCTACTGAACCATATTTGTCGTCCCAAAATTATTCTGAATTATTTTCGAATCAAATCATCTGGTTCGTGGATGATACGAACGTCTATCGCGTGACAATTCATAAGACATTCGAAGGAAACTTGACCACTAAACCTATCAATGGTGCTATTTTCATTTTCAATCCAAGAACTGGTCAGTTATTTTTAAAGATCATTCACACATCAGTCTGGGCCGGGCAAAAACGTTTGGGTCAATTAGCTAAATGGAAAACGGCTGAAGAAGTAGCTGCCTTGATTCGTTCATTGCCGATTGAGGAACAACCTAAACAGATTATTGTAACAAGAAAGGGGATGTTGGATCCTCTTGAAGTGCATTTACTTGATTTCCCAAATATTGTTATTAAAGGAAGTGAGTTACAATTACCGTTCCAAGCTTGTCTCAAGCTTGAAAAATTCGGAGATTTGATATTACGTGCTACAGAACCTCAAATGGTAATTATTCAATATTATTATTGTTTACTTATATATTGCATTATATTTATCTATTAATTGCTAACAAAATTTTGGAATTATTAGACACTGTTCAATCTGTTTGATGATTGGCTTAAAACGATTTCTTCATACACCGCGTTTTCTCGTCTTATCCTTATTTTAAGGGCCTTACATGTAAATACGGAAAAAACAAAATTGATCCTACGTCCTGATAAGAATACCATCACAGAGCCTCATCATATTTGGCCAACGTTAAGTGACGAAGAATGGATTAAAGTTGAAGTTGCGCTTAAAGATTTAATTTTAGCTGATTATGGAAAAAAGAACAATGTTAATGTCGCTTCTCTCACGCAATCTGAGATTCGTGATATCATACTTGGTATGGAGATTTCTGCACCATCTCTTCAACGCCAGCAAATTGCAGAAATTGAGAAACAAACGAAAGAACAAAGTCAACTTACTGCAGTTACAACCAAGACTCAAAATGTGCATGGTGACGAAATGCTTGTTGTTACTACAAGCAATTACGAGACACAAACATTTTCATCAAAGACTGAATGGCGTGTGCGAGCTATTTCATCAACAAACTTACACCTTCGTACTAATCATATCTATGTTAATGCTGAAGATATAAGAGATACTGGCTACACTTATGTCCTTCCAAAGAACGTACTCAAACGTTTCATTCAAATCTCCGATCTCCGCACTCAAATTTCAGCTTATTTGTATGGAACTTCACCACGTGATAATGCTCAAGTCAAAGAAATTAGAGCATTGGTTATTGTTCCGCAATATGGCACGCATCAAACAGTAAGTTTATTGTTCAATATTTTAGTTTTTACTTATTTTTTTCTTAACGTTCTCATAAATTGACATTTTATATTTTTGTAAAAAAGGTTAATTTACCTAATATGCTTCCAGATCATGAACAAATTAGAGATCTTGAACCACTCGGACTTATTGTCACGCAGCCGTTTGAAACCGCACAACTTTCTCCAACTATTTTGTCTTTACATGCCAGAATAGTAGCAGATAATAAGAATTGGGATGGCGATAAGACAATTACAATGACTGTGAGCTTTACACCCGGATCATGCTCTCTTACAGCTTATAAATTAACACCTGCCGGATTTGAGTGGGCTCGTAATAACAAAGATACATCGATGAATCCACCAGGTATATTATTAGTGACCTTTTTTATTTATTTATTTTTTATTTCATTAGTGGAGATTATTAACTTTTCTATTAAATTCGTAGGTTATCTTCCAACATTTGCAGAAAAAGTCCAAATGTTGCTCTCAGATCGATTTATGGGATTCTTCATGGTTCCGGAAAACGATATTTGGAATTATTCATTCATGGGTCCTAGTCATAGTACAAGTATGAAATATACCCTTAAGCTTGACGTCCCTAAAGAGTTCTATCATGAATTGCACAGACCACAACATTTCCTCAACTTCTCTTCCATGGAAGAAGACGTTGAGGCTGATCGTGAAGACGCATTTGCTTAAAGTGTTTAAAATTACAATCAATAAAAAAATTTTTTTCAAGTATATTAGATATATTCTAATTTTTTTAAAAATAACAATTTGTAAAATATATATAATAATAAAATTAATATCGCTTTTGAGTTTGTTTTAAAAATTTGTTAAAAAAAAATTGCTTCGGATTATTTGTAGCTTATTTATTGTACAATATTTAATTTATATTTCAGACAAATTTGGTTTTAAAATTACAAAGTATTTATATATAATTTTTTAAATATTAAAACAAAACTATTAATATTGTATATAGTGCATATATTTAAAACATTTTATTAAAAAAATTTAAAATTTTTAATTGGTTTTACTAAACCACATTAGTGGTGTTAACACAGTTTAAGTTATATGCCGTAATAAGTCTAGCGAAGTTGGAAAGTTGCAACCTTTTATTCTTAAGTTGTAATGGAATAGGTGTAGTTCTCAAAAAAATTTAATGTTCATTATAGAGAACGTTAATTTTTTAAACAATTTTATTACGTAAAATGTTATTAAAATTCTCGAATATATAACATGAAAAATAATATATAGTGTTGTCAATTAAGATATGCTACGGTGCAATTATTTTTTAAAAAAACAAGAATTAGAACCAGTCAGCATACGACGGAATGTTACGCGAATTCCGCAGAGACCGTTATCTTATATAAAGAGACCATCGGGGGCTATATGTTATTGGGGTGTCTAATGCATATCAATTTACAAACATAGTGCAGGTGTATAATGAAAATCACAAGTCGGATTTTTTTTATAACAAGCCTACAAAAGAACATTAGTATTAGTTTAAAAAAAAAAAAAAAAAGAAAAAAAGACAACTTATGTTAAAGATATCCTAATCACTACCCGGATTCCAGCCTACAATAAAAAAAAGAAATCAGTATTAGTTAAAAAAAAAACAGCGAAGCAAAAAAAAACAAATACAAGCGAAGCAAAAAAAAAAAAATCTAGATCTAATTTAGTAGGGATGGAGATTGGATTAAGGAGATGAACCGACCCGTCGGGAGATATATCTCTCGCGATAGATGCCATAATTTCCCTTATTAATATACTGCATACAGTATTTAACTCTCCAAGATCAAGTACTTATAATACCAATTTGCAGTATGATGGTTGGTTTTCCTCAACTTCATATACCATGTATTTAGTCTTTTTGTTTTTGGCTTGAAGTTGGTATACGACAAACTGATTCTTTGATTTACAAGAAATCTATAAAATACAAGAAAAATGTTAGAAACAACTGATTTCTAAGTATGCATATCAAAAATAAATTATCTGCCAGGGCCGTTAGAGAAACGCAGCTCCACAGCTCACCAAAACAGAAGGCCGGCCTTGATCATCAAAAGAAGTCAAAGCGCACAGCTCAAAAGTACAATATACACACCTTTAAGAGAAACGACAATCTACGTATTACGCGTCTTTTATATGTCTTGGTGCTAAGAAAAAGAGAAAAAAAAAGTTTTATGAAAATTGATTTTATAAAAAAACATTTGCGCTGAAAAATTTTATAACTTTCTAGATTTGATTGATAAGGTTTCAAAACATCACGGGAATAAAAAGTACTTTATAAAGCGTATTTGCGCAAGTGATACAAATCCAAAAAAGGGTCTCTTAAAGCGGGGCAGATTTCGTATAATGATCTACATACTGTATAAATTGTATAAATAACTTACTAAAAACATCAAAAACGTAACTTTTTTTAACCCGGCTTTAAGGACCCCCAAATAATCACCTTTTACGTTCTAATAAAAAAAATTCCTGGCCAAATTTTGCTATATGACTCTTTTTATATCAACATTAATCTTAACTTTAACGCTGATCAAAATTCACGTGCTATTAACAAAATAACAGCACACACGTGACTAATTCCATATACCCTGCAGTCTCGGATATTACCAAATTTGGACGTTGCAGATCACCCCCTTTTTTGTACGATTAGAAAATTCTCGAGACTTCC